CCCTACGAAAGAATCCGGACCTCTTCTCCGTGACCTCCTTCTCGTGACCTCTTTCTCGTGATCTCTTTCTCGAGATCAGCTTCCTTCCTTAGGTGAGCTGTACTCTTCTTTGCGGTATTAACCCATATTCGGCCCATTATTGGGCTTGATTCAACTAACTCGCTAACTTCAGCCGACGGGCCATATTTGGGCCCAACAGGGTCTTCTTGGTCCAAAACCGCAAGCACAACAACATACATAAGCTAATGTTGCAGATGCCTCACAGATCCAAACAACACAGCAGTTTATTGACGCCTTCAACACCATGACCTTCATGATCCGACTGCAAGAGGCTGGTATATGGACAGTGGTGCAATAGCGCATTTGGCCTCAACAACAGGCTCCATTATGTTAGTAAAATGAACACCGGAACATCAGTAACTGTCGGTAATGGCTCTGCCATTCCAGTTAATCATTCTGATACTCACTCACTTCTCACTCCTTATTGCTCTCTTCTTTTAATAACGTTTTAGTCGCACTAAATATCATTAAGAACTTCATTTCGGTACGTCGTTTCACTAAAGATAATGCTTGTTCTATAAAGTTTGTCCATTTGGTTACTCGGTGAAAGACCTTCTCACACGGACGACTCTTCTCTGCAGTAATAGTGAGGGAGATCTTTACCCAATGCTTCTTGTTATCAATAAGAACAAGCCTCATCATGCTTTCATGGCTGTTTTTTTCCTCAAAATGGCATCATCGACTAGGCCATACAAATAATGAGATGTTAAAATCTCTTCTCTCTTATCGATCTCTTACTTGTAATAAAGACAACTTACTAACTTGTTGTAATGCTTGCCAACTTGGGTAACATGTAAAATTTCCATTTTATAATCTACTCTACTACTTCTAAACCTTTTGAGCTTATTTATTCAAATATTTGAACATCGCTAGTCTTAAGTCTGAGCGGGATTCAATATTATTTTTGTTTTCAGATGATTTCTCTCATTTCTTATGGGCCTATCCGCTTCGTCACAAAACCGAAGTCTTCTAAAAATTTCTTCACTTCTCAGCCAACATCAAAAATCAATTTGCCACAACCATAAAATCTTTTCGATGTGACAATGGTGGGAAATACTCAAACAATCAATTTCACCAACATTTTGCAGAATATGGGATCTTGGCACGCTTCTCCTACCCGTACACATCTCAACAAAATGAAAAATCCGAAAGGATGATAAGTACTCTCAATAAAACTATACGGGCTCTTCTATTCCAAGCTCATCTCCCTCCATGTTTTTTGGTTCAAGCTTTACATGTTTCGGTATACCTCAAAACATGATTTCTTCCTCTTCTATTAATCATAAAACACCATTCTCTATTCTCTTTGGCAAACATCCCACTTATGATCACCTGAAAGTATTTGGGTGCCTCTGTTTATACCATCATCAACAAGTCTACTATATACAAGTTGTCTCCACGGTCTACCCCATGTTTATTCGTTGGTTTTTCGATGCAACATCGGGGTTACCATTGCTTGGATCTCAACACCAACAAAATCATTCTTTCGAGACATGTGGTGTTTGACGAATCAACTTTTCCTTGTGAGCTCAAACAGTCGACCACTTCCAAAACCTATAACTTTCTTCATGTATCTGATGAACCTTCTCTACTCTTCCACCAGATACTAGCTCCATCTCCACCTCAAATTTCTGCTACTAATACCATTTCACACACCACACAAAATGCCCCCGCTCCAACATCAAATACATCTACCACTCAACATACAATGAAAACACGGAGTCAAAGTGGCGTTCATAAACAAAAGCAGGTCACTTCTCTGATATCTTCTACCATCTCTCCCATTCGAAGCACCTACCAAAAAGTTCTAAATGATCCTAACTGGAACCCGACAGTTACTGAAGAGTATGATGCTTATGTTACTAATAAGACTTGGAGTCTTGTGCTTCGTCCAAAAGGGGCAAATATTGTTAACTCTATGTGGCTTTTCAAAAATAAATATGAGGCACATGGAGTTCACCGTTGATACAAATCTCGGCTTGTGGCGAACGGAAAAACTCAAGCAGAAGGTATCGACTACAACGAAACTTACTCTCCGGTCATGAAACCTGCGACAACTCGCTCTGTCTTGCATGTCGCTCTTTCTCGTGATTGGAAAATATTTTTGAAGTTTACAATTTTTCTTTATTAGTTGACAAAAAATGCATTGAAAATAGAAAATACAACCATTTTTTTCCTTAGAAAATGTATCTATTTGGAAGATAATTTTTCACTCTGTCTTGCACATCGCTCTTTCTCGCGATTAGAACATCAAAAAATTAGATGTAAAGAACGCTTTCTCCCAAGGCAATCTCTCAATAATCATCTACATGCACCCGCCACTAATCTACATTATCTTTCAAGATAATAAAATGATTGAATAAAATATACTCTCTCTCTCTTTCAAATAGATACATTTTCTAAGAAAAAAATTGTTGTATTATTTTCTAAAATATACTTTCTCTCTTTCAAATATATACATTTTTTAAGAAGTGTGAAAATTTTAAAACATGTATTATTTTAAAAAAGAGGGAGTATTTTATATTTTGACAAAAAAAGAGGGAGTATATTTTATAGTAAAATTCAATTTTGTTAGATACACTTGTTTTACGGAACCCAACATCATTCACAAATTTGCTTATGAATTTGACCGGTGCACTTGTTTTACCGAACCTAGCTATTTACCGAACCCAACATCATTCACAAATTTGCTTCAATCAATGGGTTCACAACGTACTCTTTTTAGTGCATCTACTAATGTCATGGAATCAAATGAAGATTTGAATACAATTGCTTTAGTCTATCAATGGTTAATATATCATGTCTTTTCATTCTTCTATCTAAAGGAAAACAAAAACAAAATACATGGAAAATGATTGGAGAAAATAAATAATAAGATAAAACAAATATTCCTTTCGTTTCATTTTAATTGTCATTTTAGGTTTTTACACACAAATTATAAAAACATTTAATTTTACATATTTTCAAGATAAAAACACAATTATCTATACACCTAACCACTTTTTAACCAATAGAAAAATAGAATATCATATAAAACTAATAAATTTTTTCTCGAAACTCTAAAACAACACTTATTTAGAAAACAAAATTTTTTATCTAAAATGACAATTATTTTGAAACCAGGGAGTAGTAAATAAAAAGGAAACGAATCAGAAACAACAAGACAGAGCACTAGCCAATTACCTAGGAAACGCACGTTCACTCTTAACACGCTTATTACACACAAATCTCTCTCTCTCTCTCTTTAATACTCAAGCCTTCCTCTCTTTCTTCTGCATCTCTCTGTTTCTCGTCCTCCTGTTGTATTTTCTTTTATAATTTCCCGTTCTTAATTGACTCTCTCTTTTTTTTTTTTTTAATTTTCATCTCTGTTTTTTTCCTCTGCAATCTCTGTGTTCCCTTCTCTCTCTCTTTCTCTCTCTTAGCGTCTGACTGATGCACTCTCTCTCCCATTGGATTCACCGCCGTGAATAAATGGGGTGCATGTTCTCTCACCTCGCCGCCAAATTCGCCTTTTTCCCTCCCTCTCCTCCCACCTACCACGTCACAAAAACACCCGAGGGAAAACTCTCCGCCGTCTCCTCCTCCACTTCCTCCACTTTTCCCGCCGCCGGAGACTCATCACTCGACGTCAGAGTGGTGAAGACGAGACGTGGAAACAAAGTTACAGCTTTTTACCTGAGAAATCCTAACGCGAGACTCACACTTCTGTACTCTCATGGAAATGCCGCAGATTTGGGACAACTCTTCGATCTCTTCGTTCAACTCAAAGTCAATCTCCGAGTCAATCTTATGGGGTCTCTCTCTCTCTCTCTCTCTCTCTCTCTCACTCAGATGCTCGCTCTCACTCTTTCTCAGTGTTCATACTCTTCATACGGCGTCGTTTCATGTTCACCTAAATTTCTTACTTCTATTGGTTTATATGGTTTTCTTCGAAATGTTTGTATTTTTAATTCTGTACGTAAACAGTATCATAAATTACGACAATTAAAACAAGTGTACTTTTTTTTTGTTCAAAAAACAAGTGTACTTATCTTTTGAATATTTGTTAATTTCTTTTTTTTTTCTAAAATAAAGATCCAGTTTTTTTTTCTTGGAGAAAGCTCACGCTTTTGGGGAATGGGTTCTTGTCTGCGCCCAAAAAGTTCAGATTTTGTGATGTTTCCCACAAATTTTCCTTTATTTTTTTTTGTTTTCTGGTTCGCCACAATTTTACTAAATTGTTTTTTTTTCTTAGTTTATCGACGTTTTAGATTCCTGAACTTTTTTTTTTTTTTTTTGTAAATTAGATTCCTGAACTTGACATTTAGTTTTAGGGCTTATTTGTTAAATAACCTAAAAAAAAAACAAAATTAGTTTTCTAGAGAGATGGTAGAGAGAGATAGGAACACAGAAGGGGAGAGAGAGTGTCTTTTTGGTTACTTAATCAATTTTTCTTTTTTTAATGTTATTGGGTGCAATTTCCCTTAGTTTTACCCTTAAGTTCAATTCAAAGTTACTCACCTACCACCATCAATGTGTATTTACTCTTTTTACAACATTCGGTTCAAAACAGAAGATGTGTACGTAAGTAAATACTATAAGGTGTAACCTATTATTCGAGTAATGAATAAGAGTCAATTTATGATGATTCTTTTATAGCTTCGTTGCTTAGAATTATGTTTTTGCAGGTATGATTATTCAGGCTACGGAGCTTCTACCGGTAAGGTGTGTAGCGCCTACTTTATAATTGTGAATTTTGGTTAGATTTAAGCTCAATAACATAATTCTGGCATAAAATGTGATTTAGTTAGCTTCTTACGTTTGTTGGGATGTTTTGCATCGATCTCTTAAGCCTGGTTAAGTTTGTTATCTATCATGGGCGATATCTTAGATTATTCGAGTGATTGGTATGAGAATTCTCTCTCCATTTAACATTATTGACCAACTGTGGTTTATAATCTGTATGTTTGCAGCCGAGTGAGTACAATACTTATGCAGACATTGAGGCGGTTTACGAGTGTTTGCAGACAGAATATGGGGTTGGGCAGGAAGATTTGATATTGTATGGTCAATCCGTTGGCAGTGGACCCACGTTGCACCTTGCCTCTAAGCTTCCTCGGCTTAGAGGTGTGGTTCTTCATAGTGGCATTCTCTCCGGTCTTCGTGTTCTGTGTCACGTTAAGTTCAAGTTTTGTTGTGACATTTATTCGGTAAAGATCCCTTGGCTTTCAAGCTTATTTGTTTTGCTGGTTTATTTTATGGGCTTTGAATTCTCGGTTTAGGAAGTGCGAATGACTAAAGCCACGTAAATCTAGTTAAATATATGTGAACACACGTTTTTAGATATGTCATGTAGATAAATCTAAGGTTATATAGGCTATGTTGGTGACTACTAATTTGGAAGCCAACCGGTTTAGAAGTGGGTATGGTTAATCTAAAAGCTAGCCGGTTTAGAAGTGGCTATGGTTAGTCTGGAAGAAAACCGGTCTAGGCCTTCTTCAGGGTTTTAGTACTATCCTTTTACTGATTAGTGTTGTGTAATTGCAGAACATAAACAAGATCAAGAAGGTGAAATGCCCAGTTCTTGTCATACACGTAAGTAAAAATAGGTCTCTTGTTTACATCCTTGGCCTATCTGATGAATTTTTACTGATATTGTTACTTATTTATCGTTAATGCAGGGAACAGAAGATGATGTGGTAAATTGGCTACACGGTAACAGACTTTGGAAGATGGCAAAGGAACCGTATGAACCGCTTTGGATAAAAGGTGGTGGACATTGCAACCTCGAGATTTATCCGGAATACATTAGACATCTCTATCAGTTTATACAAGACATGGAGAACACAACCACTAAATCTCGTCTCAAGAAGATATGGCAAGATATCCGCAGGAGAGATGAATCCAAAGGATGTTGTAGTTTTGGACAGTGCAGACCGAAATGCCCTCGGTGTCCCAAACCTAGTTGTGGCGAATGCGGTTGTTGCAAGTGCTCGTGTCCGTCGTTGAAGGGATGTTTCTCTTGCTGTAAGAAACCAAGCTGTGGTAGTAGTAGTTGTTGCAAGTGCTCGTGTCTGTCGTTGAAGAGGTGTTTCTCTTGCTGTAAGAAACCGAGCTGTGTTAGTAGTTGTTACTTTCCCAAGTTCAAATGCTGCAGCTGCTTTGGAAAGCCTAGTTGTCCGAAATGCTCTTGTTGGAAATGTCTAAAATGCCCCGAGTCAGAGTGTCGACAGAGTTGTTGCTGTGCTGGTTGTTTTAGCTGGCTGTGTTGTTGTGGCGGAGGGAGGAGGAAGGAGGGGGAGACGAGAGGAGGGACTACGGTGGCGAAGAGTTAGGGGTAATTTTGGTATAGATTTTGTTCGAAGATATGATTCATGGGAACATTTAGTATTGACGAGAGGACCTCTTTGGCACCACTTAACCTAGTCCTTTCTGCAGCACAAATGAAACTAAAAGAACTCGACTCTAATGGTTTTCCAGCTCTAAAGATGAAACCCAGATGCCATTCTCAGTTCTGTAGCTGTATCAACTTGAGATGCAAACCGGTAGCGATAAACCCAAAACAATTAAACAAAGATGTCCTATATTGAATACTCTAATCAAGTAAGTACTGAAGATAACAGTGTCTTCTTTGCCAAGTTAGGTCACATCCTCTATATCAAAACGGACAGCAAAAGAAAATAAAACACGGTCATCTAACTGGAAGGCATTAATAGACAAAGAAAGAGCATGAAACAGGGGTCTTTTAACAAGATATTGCAGTTTAGGCCTTTGGCCAAAAAAATATTACAAAAAAACGTGTAGCCAAAAATACATCCAACTTCCAAATTTGTAAGCAAATGACAGATTCAATACAAAGACACATCGAGCAGAAGACATAAAATAAGATAACAAAGACTAAACAAGCTTTGCTACTCTTCAGTGACAGAAAACAAAATGATCTTTCCAGCAGAATGGCGTATCTAAAGGAAGCCGATTCCGCATGTATATGAGAAAACGTGGATAGGATATGATAAGCTGACGTTATCAGAGACTAGTTGGATCTTGCATTTGGATGAGGCTACCAAAGTCCAATCTTCAATACACAAATCTGTTTTACTAGTGTCTTCTTGTTTTGTAGCAGGTGTCAACTTGAGACAAACCGATTTATCATACCTAAACCGAAAAAAACATAATTTTAAACTAAAACAACTCAAGTAAACACAGCTTATGGAACACACAAACCCAACATCCTCTCAGTTCAGAGACAACAAAAGCATAAAACACCAGTAAACTAAGGTGCTAAGCAGACTACAAACGACAGCAAATAGGAAACATGATTGCTTTTGAGCTTAGCTTAAAGGGTTGAGAGACCAAGTATATTTTTCTTCTGGAGGAGCAGACCGTTTCTTTAATAAAGAATGAAAGCATAGTAGATGACAAACTAAGATTCTCAGAGATTACTTGCATCTTGCATTCTGATGAAGCTATTCTTGGAATCTTTTCAAACCTCTTGGATAATTCAAACATATCATGGTCATTTGATGTAGTGTAGTCAGAGCCGGTTCAGAGAATTAGGGGGTAAAAAGCGATTTTTAACGATTGCACCTAATTTTTTTCTTTTTACGGATTTAGAGTCTAAAATTTTCTTTTTAGGGCCTAGGTACATGTAATTTTCTTCAAAAAGGACATAAGGTCAATGTTTTATCTGACTTTACCCAGATCCGGCCCTAAGTGTAGTATACTATCAGCTGTTCAAGACCCATCATTTTCTCCAAAAAATGCTTGATCTGCGCAATGTCCGTCCCGTCATCATCTATGTGTGGCCTAGTCATATGTATCTTTAACACCTTCACCGGTGAAGATGAAAGGCAGGCAGAGCCGGTCCTACAAATTGTAAGACCAGAACCAAAATTATAAAAATGGGCCGCTTTATAGTATATTCGAACTCAGGTTATTGACACAAGGTTCCAGCAAACAATATTATACCACTACACCACAGGAGAATCTTGAAAAAAAGTGGCCGCATTTTATTGATAAACTCAACGGCCGGAAGCCTGTGCTTTATTTGTTTCTATCAAAGGCCGGCTCTGAAGGCATGAAGGAGCATTATCCATGCGTTTACAGCAGCACACGTTCCCACATCCATCACTCTTCCTGTGGTCGAGAAACTGAAAGGACATGTTTAAGTTATTAAGTAATTGATAAACAAAGATGTTTTAATGGGTTTTCTTTCATATCTTGAAAACAAGAGTGTCAAGATTTGGACAATTCTTGAGCAGACGTGGCAATGATTCCCATCCTGTTTCCGAGACAACAGTTAGTTGAATCAGGTTGTTGAATACCGGTGTTGCTTCGCAACAGAATGCAAGCACCTGAAAAAAAAAACAAATCATAGCTCTAACCAATCTTTGACTAATTTAAAGAATAAGATTGATGTCCAAACCTCAAGCGATTCAGCAGATAAAGAAAGTATTTGAACATTGCATATTCCCATAAGAAACTTCGTGGCGTTTTCCACCATTTGTTTTTCCTCATCACCTTCTATGAAATAGTCACCTACTTGAAAGTTCGCATATGCACTCTTATCTTTTGTTAGTCGAAGAACAACATAAGCTTCAACAAGCGAGTTAAAACTGACTTTTGGATACTTTTTGCGATAGTATCAAAATACACTAAGTAAACAAGATTCGGAGAATCAAAAGAAACATTCCTCTGGATTCCAATCATAGTCCTTACAAAAAAGCATAAGTCTCTTGAGGGTTGGGATAGAGACAGAGCAAGAGTTCTATAAATCACACCTGATAGTCAACAAAACCAATTCCTCAAGCACATAACAACCTGAAAGAAGCTTTGCAAGCCTAAAGAAAAGTTAATGAAGAAAGAAGGTCTTGAGGTTTGGAAGAAAAACATCTTCCAAGTCAAAGGTGACACTGAGACCATCTCCCCCTACTAATGTCAGCTTAACTAGTGACTCACTCACTCACAAAGAGCTTGGAGGGCAAAGGAAAGTCCACATCCCACAGGTACAGCTCAAGATATAGTACCCCACGTTCCAACACATTGAATATCCAACTAGTGGTATAAGCTTGATCAACACCATTTACACAGCGTAGAGAAAACTTGTTAACTTTACTATTCCCTGAAATTTTGGGGTCTAAGACGATATTTTAACGATTTCAACTAAAAAGTTTTTTTTGTCGGATTTGGGGGGTCTAAATTTTTTTTTTCGGGGGCCTATATACGTATAACTTTTTCTAAAAAATTAGGGGCCCAAGACGAATGTTTCATCTGGCTTGACTCAGAACCGGCCTTGTTTGTGACAAATGCAAACAAGAGACGCCACCTTTTAGAGAGAACTGATGTGGAAGCAGCTTCTTTAGTGTGAAGAAAAGACAAGATTGAGAGAGTAGATGATCTGGTAAACTGCTGATTATATCTCTTGAGACTAAACCCATCTCTTTTTCGGACACAAGACCAAGCACAGGTCGTAAGGTTCCCCTGAGATTCAACAAAGAAAATTAGTTACTTACTGGGGAAGAATTAGAAGCAGACACTTTGTGAAGATAGGAATCAGACAAGAAAGGATATTTTCAGTCGTTGCCGTCAGTAAGTTGCAAGTGGAAGAGGAAATTAGGGTATGTGCAAATTGGTTAGAGAAATTGTTAGGATGAAGTTGAACATATGTATACAAAGTATTTTTATATTTACTATTAATTATTTTTATTTACATTTATGTATTATAAAATAATAAATATATTAAATAATTAAAAAAAAATAAATATTAGAGTGAATTTGGTAGAAAACCAAAACTAAGTGTGAAATTGGAAAAATACTTTTGATGGGACTTGTTCATATCTATGAACAAAAATACTATTAGATGGGATTTAGGGTATGTAGTTAATTATGAAGTTTTATATGTGTATGGAGTGATACTCTTATTATGTTATAATTAAACTGAACTAATCACATAAATCAAAATAAATTAAGGAAAACAATCATTTTATTTATTTTATATGATATATAATTAAAAGAAACACACAAAAGAACAATTAAAATCTTTGAATCAAAGAAACAAATCAAAGCAAATAAACAAAAATAAGCAAACAAACCAATATTAGTATTATTAAAAATTTTGAACATATCTATACAAATTATTTTATATTTATTATTAATTTTTTTTATTTATATTTTTGTATTATAAAATAATAAATATATGAAATAATTAACAATAAGTAAATATTATGTATATAATTAAACTGGACTAGTCATATAAATCAAAGTAAATAAAGGAAAAAAAACCATTTTATTTATTTTATATCATATATAATTAAAAGAAACACACAAAAGAACAATTAAAATCTTTAAATCAAAGAAACAAATCAAAGCAAAGAAAAAAAACTAATCAAACAAACCAATATTAATATTATTTAAAATTTGGAACATATGTATACAAATTATTTTTATATTTATTCTTAATTGTTTTTGTTTGAATTTATGTATTATAAAATAATAAATACATAAATAATTAAAAAGAGTAAATATTATGTATATAATTAAACTGGACTAATCATATAAATCAAAAAATAAAGGAAAAAATCATTTTATTTATTTTATGTGATATATAATTAAAATAAACACACAAAAGAACAATTAAAATCTTTAAATCAAAGAAAAAAATCAAAGAAAAGAAAGAAAACTAATCAAACAAACCAATATTAATATTATTTAAAATTTTGAAATTATTTTTATATTTATTATTAATTATTTTTATTACATTTATGTATTATAAAATAATAAATATATTAAATAATTTAAAAAATAAATGTTATGTATATAATTAAACTGGATTAATCATATAAATCAAAGTAAATAAAGGATAACAATCATTTTATTTATTTTAAATTATATATAGTTAAATTTAAAAATATTAATATTGGTTTGTTTCATTTGTTTTGCTTCTTTGCTTTGATTTGTTTCTTTGATTCAAAGATTTTAATTGTTCTGTTGTGTGTTTCTTTTAATGGATTTGAAATACAAAAATTTTGATTCAGTTAAAATGTTAAAAAAAGATTATTGATAAATCCAGAAGCGGATGGTAGCGACTGTTTTTACATGTTTCAATCATTGGCGATTTTTCATTTGATGGTAATAAAATTTTGACTATAAAATATGGATATTCCGAAAGAGAACAGAAAATTTTAATTAATCGACACTTTTTAATGATATTTTCTCTGACTTTGTTATTATAAAAAAATATAATAGACTTCGTTATTATCAAAGACAAATATTAAAATTATCTTTACTCATTAGTTTTTTGCTAAAACAATAAAAAAGAGTGGCAATCTTATCGATTTAGTCTTAAAATGTGGTATTTTTAGATTAATATGAAAATTATTTTCTTCATGATTATTCTATTCCAAAGACAAAATGAAATTTTTATATGAAAATCTTTAGCTATCCATATGCAAATAAATGTGTTAGTTTACTAGGATCCTACCAATATATTTACTAATAATCAAAATATAAAAACCTATAAGATTTATGAGCAAAAGAGTATTGATTAAGAAATTTGCTGTTCAGAGCTTCACTGCTCGCTTCAAAATGTCCCTATTAATTTGCAACATCATAAATTTAAGTTATCTTTCAAGCAACACAATTAAATATCAGAGGACAAACACATGTTAAAATGAATCTCCATTTCGTTTGTAAAAAAGTTGATACAGGACATGTTAAAGTTCTTCATGTACCTGACACTTCAATAAGACATTTTAACGGAAGGACTTTCATCCTCCTTCAATGAATTTCGGTTCAGCTTAACCCTGCCCAAACATCTGATGTTTAAACTGTGAGAAATAATATGTCATAGATTCTGTATTTCATTTGATTGATATGATTTGTATCTAGATGAATGTATTACAGAGAATTCTCTTTAATTAATGACGATGACCTCTATATTTAATATCCCTATTAGGATAAGACTTGCGCCTTGCGTATGATGAATGTATGTAATTAAAATATAAGATTTTATATTGACAAATTTAAAATTTACATATGATTGTTTTTATATGTATTTAAAATTTTAGAATTTTAGAATTTTTATATAATTATCTATACGTGTGATCATAAACAATTGTAATTAGATTGTATATCAAAGTTTGGAATTTAATAGACCCGATTTCATATATCTTTTCCCTTTTTAGT